CACGTGGTCTGAATTGGGAAAACATTGCGTCAGAGCCGAGGAGGTCTTTTGGACAGTCGCAGTTACTCACGCCTTCACGAGACTTCCTTATTCATAATTTTATCCATTTTCAAGGTATCTACACATCGCTATTGTTCAGTGTAATCAAAGTTTGGTTCGTTTTCTTGTTCAAGCGATGAAAGAAACTAAACTTGATGTCTACAACAACTTGAGACAGGTACACCATACTACTAACACTACCCCACAGGGGATTAATGTAACCCTCCTCACCCATGACCATCACCCGAAGTTGTCATGTGATTTCTCACTAGTATCAACGTAACTCTCACATGACGGGCCACTAGATCTAGCTTCTCCAATAAGGCCCCGTTTACATTTATACGTTACAATTAATTTGAACACGCATGCTTATGGATGCGGTTTGGTCTCRTGTCCACACTTTAAACAATCGCGCACACACTGAGCATGACGTCACACCGGCACGTCTGCTTTTCGCATGCGCAGATGACGATGTTGTATCAATGCATCATTTTGTAGTTGCGTTTTTGATAATGATGTGAACTAAAACGCTAGTGTGTATGCAAATAAAGCTTTCGATGCGTTTTCGATAAGACGGAGCGTTTCAAAAACGCATTAGTGTAGACGGACATGGTTTAAAGCTCTTCCATAATCTCAATATTTTGTTTTCGTCACCAGACTCCTCTTCATCTAGCGGTTATAACTGGTCAAGAGAACCTGGTTCGGGAGCTTATCCAATCTGGATCGGACATTAATGCATTGGATCGTAATGGTCAGACCCCCCTTCACTTGGCGTGTCAGGGGGGACACGTTAATATTGTAAAGGCAATTTATGAGTGTACGGCCGCTGACCGCAGTAGGCTCAATGTCAACGCTAAAAACTTCGAAGGTAGGATGACGTCATTTATCGTTTTGTAAAAAAAGAGGTTTGATGAGGTAAATTGCAACATAGATATAGATTGGTTTTGCTTTCCACTGCAGCAGATAAACAATAATCTATTATGAACATTTTTACTCCTCAATTGAAATGACGCGCAGAATCGTACAATAATAGTCTAAAACTCTATTTTGTCGCGAGGGCAAATTGTACGAATTCGCGTGTGCTAGAAAACGATTCAGTTACACGTACTTGATTTTAACAAATTTATCTGTGCACTCAGGTCTATCTCCACTTCACCTAGCAACGATCTGTGGTAATCGCGATTTAATAGGGATGGTCATCAGTATGGGAGCCGACATCAATATTAAGGTACGTCTTCAAATATCTGACGGTCAACTTGATTTGCAATCTGGGCGCACAACGCATTGCTTGTCACTGCGAAAGTTTCCAAGTATTTCCTATTATATCTCTTGTTAAAACGTTTTATTTCCGCCAGCAATAACAAAGTATGCTATTTTTAAAAGATATTTGATAAATCTTTCCACAGATAAGTTTTATTAAGATCTGCCGTTGGAAATAGTGAGCAACAGACAAAACGTTTGCTGATTGGCTAGTTTGGGATGAAATAAGCGAAATCACCTTGTTATAGATAAATATCACGTGATATAGTAAACATCACGTCGTCACTCACTAATATTTGAAATCGTGTGTGTTCTAGGATGCAAGTAGCGGTCGCACAGCTCTTCATCACGCAGTCGAGTCAGGCAGATATCACGTGGTAGAGTACTTCCTGTCACGTGGTGCAAGTGCGAACGTCCCTACGTTTTCTGGTAACACACCTCTTCACACGGCAGCAGGGCGACAAATGCAGGAAATGATTAATTTATTAAGTAGATATGGCGCTGATGTTAACGTGGCTAACATGGAGGGCGATAAGCCAAAAGTTGTACATGAAAGTGAACAGGTGAGCCCGCAATTCCTACACTAGTAAGCCAGCGGCATCTTATGTATTGACATGCGATGACTCTATCATCAGTCGCCATCTTGATGTCTTTTCGCCAAATACGTTTTTAATAGGACGTTTGCATGATGGCGTCATTTGACTCCCACTACCAAGATGCTTCGCGAATTTTCTTTCTTGTTTAGGCTGCGTTCATAATGTATGGCAGAGGGGGGGGGGACAGGTGAAAATTTGAAATGTCCAGAATAATTCTCAACACCCCCCTATAAAGTCATGCAAAACAATACGATCCCTCCTAAGCAAAGCTTGTAGCTTCTTCCAAAAATTGTGCATCCCCCCATTTTTCTGATAAAAATTTGCCCATCCCCCCTTTTTCCTACCAAAATTTTCCCGATCTCCCCTCAATTTCACCTGCCCCCTTCTGCCATACATTATGAACGCAGCCTTAAATTTGTATTCCCTCATGAGAATAGTAAGGCAATTGATGCTAATTAACCGAGTCTGGTGGTAGAGGTCTGTGACGCCATCGTGCAAACGTTCTACGGGTATTGATAAACCTCTTTTCCTTTGGCGTAATATTTTCTTATTTCATTCTCGTGAGAATGAAATTCTGTTTGAGTTGTATCTATATTTGTGTCTTCTCATACGCAACCGTTAAACAAAGAAATGATACTCTAGGGAATGACATGTGGACTGAAATAGAAAAACATTACACCCAAGGTAAAGAAATCATTAAAAAGTGTTTTTCTCGAACAAATTGTAATTTTGAACTTTTCATTTCTTTTCCATGGTATCAGGGTAAAAGACAGCTTGAGTCATCCAGAAAAAGAGCGAAACGACCCAAGGCATCTTCGTCCGCGGAGACTTCCAAGAAAAAAATTAACCTAGGCGATCAAAAAGTGACATCATGACCACGTGATATTTAGTAACCAATCAACATCATGAAGCATCACGTGGAGTCTGGCAAGGTCCTTTCAACACTTCAATGAAATTAAATGATTTATATGCATATTTTTTACCAAATAAGGAAAGGATATATGGTATCCAATCAGTGAGTGACACGTAAAGGATGAAAATGATGTCATTTGAGTGTTTTGTTTGAAAGCCAATCAGCGCCAAGTAGAATCAGATACCAAGCACAGTCAGATGACTTTGTAGTCACGTGCGTGATTTTAAACATCAAATCAGGAGTGGCATATTTAGTATCCAATCAGTGATTGACAAGTTATTCATGTTTTTGGTTTGAATATGGATATTTATAGAATTAGAGTGAAGCCATTAAACCCGTGAAATAGATATTAGACTCATACACATTAGTAGACCCTAATTCCATTGTTGTTGTTGTTTTTTTTTTGTGTGTGTGAGTGTGTGTCTATTTGACTATTACACGTTGACTAGTATTTTTTATTTCACGGGTTAAATGCCTTCACTCTAATAGTCTACTCAATACCAGGACTGAACATCTTCACATAGGTCAAGAAAGACCGCTTAAGGACTGGGAACAGGTACATTTGATGAAGAAACGAATTTTAAAAAATCCACTTAAATTGTTTTCAATTAACGAGATTTATTTGTGCGTAAGGACAAAATGCGCCAAAAATATCTCTTTGTAATTACTAGAACTTTTAAATATGACATTTCATTAAAATAAATGTTAAACGTTTACTTTATACGAAAGAACAAATGTTTTATTCAACGATTGGATGTGACGTAAATCTTTAGCTTTACCAAAGTCAGTACCATGACGATCGATGATTGTTCGGTTAAACATCGCTTAGCTAGCATGAATGTTTAACAAAAAGTACCCATACCATGCTCTGAAAAAGGCCTTGTACCCAGACGGGTAATCCACAACGGGCAGAACGAAGCCTGAGAGTGGATGAACGAACAATGAATGGTGAGATAAAACAAAAGATACTGCTCACATGTAGAACAATACACATTGTTCACCATAATCCATGCTTTCTTTGTTTTTGTTATTTTGTCCAATCCCAAGCTTCGTTCTACCAGTGGACACCGTCCCACCCAGACCTTTAAATGCGCGATGGCATTGGTTTAGTATCCAAACCAAGTAACCAAGCCTTCGTGACGTGGAACCGGAGTGATACCCAGACTTTTATCGCATGCTCATGCTGCTCTCCTAAAATATATACAAATATCTACACGAGACTTGTATAGGTGCGTTGTTTCCATCATTCCGTGTGGGATCTGGTGGTTCAGTCTTTGTCCTGACAGTGTATAGGGTTTGGGCTGGATACTCCTCTTCTTACGAAAACCCCGCTTGAACTCGTGTCGATTCGTTTGGATTTCTTTTTCTTACGTCTGAGCATCGACTGCTGTGTCGGTTGGGTGCTCTTCTTGGTCTCCGACTGCAAGATAATAGCAACGGTTAATGRTTACTTAATGCTAATAGGAATGATGATTATGATTGATTACAATGACGATGATGGTAGTGAGTTAACATGATGATGATCGTGATGATATTGATGATGATATAATAGAGCGTTTTCACGTGACGTCACAGCGGCCATTTTATGGTGTACTAAAACAATACATTTTCTATCCTCCGGGAATTGCCCTATTTCACTATGACGTTACATAAAAACAATCTTCAACAATCTATTGTTTAAACGCAAAGGATTATGGTCGTCGGACGGGGTCAAATCAACGAAAATTGTTCTAAAACCCGTATCAATCCACGAAGAGAAGTAGAATAGCCGGCAAACGCTCAGAATATTTTTTAGTACATATTGACACATATTATATCTGAAAACCAGGCCATTTTAGATTAAACTGTTTTGCTAGGAGCAAATTTTGTTGAATTTTCTATTGGATTTGGCGATTCTATCCCCGACATAAACAAGCAGTGACGTCATAGTGAAATAGGGCAATTGAACTCTATTTTTATGCAAATAATGTGAAGAAAGTTTCTATTGTTTATGACTGCCTTCTCACGTGAGTGAAAACGCTCTATGATGATGATGTTGATAATAATAAATGAACATAATAATAGTCTTAAATTCAAGAGAGCCAGCTGAGTAGACTGCATTCCCCGAAAGGAATCACGGGTCAATTATTTTTGGTTAGCATTTTTTCCTAGCAGGGACTAAGTACAATGTAGATTTCTTTCGTCGATTGAATTGGCCTATTTCACTATGACGTCACTGCTTGTTTATGTTGGGGATAGAATCGCCAAATCCAATAGAAAATTCAACAAAATTTGCTCCTAGCGAAACAGTTTAATCTAAAATGGCTGAGCGATTGCTGGCTATTCTACTTCTCTTCGTAGATTGATACGGGTTTTAGAACAATTTTCGGTGAATTTGCGTTGATTTGACCCCCTCCGACGACCATGATCCTTTGCGTTTACACAATAGATTGTTCTGATGTGACGTCATAGTGAAATAGGGTAATTGGGATTCTGCCATGAATTCGACAAGTGTTTACGATCATTTGAAGAATGAACAATCCGGCATATTTCATAGTTTCTCTCGGCAGAACCATGAGAAATGCTAATCAAAATATAATGTTGAATCATCAATACTGAATAATTGACCTTGCGTTTGTTCTGAAGGTCAACTCAGCTGGAGGCTAGTAAACGTGTGGCCCTCACGAGTTCATTAGAAGAAATTGGTGATGACTGATGATGGTGTTGTAGATGATGTTGATGATGAATGCTGATGATGACTATTGAGGTTGATGATGACTGATGATGATGATGGGAACATTATGTTTAGGCGTCTTGTACTAACCACAGTACGATACAAGGATCTCTCATCCTCTAGCTGTAGTGTTAGGGTGTGTATCTGTGCCCTCAGTCTGTCCATCTGGGCTTCGAGTTTCTCTCGCTTTTCTCGTTCATATTCGAGCTGTGCTTCAAGTTCTCGGATAATCCTTAAAATTAGACAAAAATCTTTTCGAATCTTCAAGACTGTATTTGCAACCATCTTTTACTCTATATCTCTGGCTTCCTCTCTTCCATTTTCATCCACCCATTCATTTGTCTGTCCGTCCTTTCATCCACTAACCATTCCATCCATCTATTCACCCAACCAAACTATCTGTTCCATCTATCTACTCACCAACTCACCCAACAAGCATTTCATCCATCCATCCATCCATCCATCCATCCATCC